AATTATATAATTTCTGTCTTTCTGGTTATTAATTATTCATTCCCTGGGTTCAAGTCACTAGGGCTTTTAGTCCTGTTGATTTTCTCTCTAATCATTTGAGTGAGTTTTTAATTCCTCCTGTCCTGCCCTGTTACTCTAGGGGTTTTCCGCCTGTGTATCCCCAGTGTCATAGTGCTGGTACTTGATTACTCCTAGGACACAGCTCATGGCCAAGAAATGATCTGGAAGGAAATGACATCCATGGGAGCCCTGAAGTCTCTGAATAGCCCGCTGCAGCCCTTGGAGAACCAGTGCAAGAGTGAGGCTCAGCAGTCCCAGGCTTTCCAGGAGAGAGGTGAGGAGCCCCAGTCCTTTCGGGGTTTAGGATAGAGGTGAGGGCTGTCATCTGTGGTATGGTTCATTTTCTTAGTGACAGTCACTGTGGCCATCAGTGAGTATTGTGGAAAGGCCTCCTTGCCTAGAAATATTCTTCGACTGGCTCTGCTTAGAATCTGAAATTCCAGTATCATTTCTAACTTTGGGTTAAGAATTAAGGTCTTTAGTAAAATTCTCTAAAATATCCATAATATTCAAAGACCAATATTCTGTTTTTTTTTAATATTTTGTTTCCATTGGCAAGGCAATCCCTAAGCTGGAGTTGAAATTGTATCAGTAATAGAAACCATATAATAACTTGAACAGAGAAAGTTTAATATTAAGAATTATGAACTATTAATATAACAGGGCTTTAACTACTAAGTGGTGTGACAAAAAAACAAACTTTAAAGCATAAAGGAATAGCAGATATAGGGAGTCTCTAGGGCTGAGGCAGAACACCCAAGGAAGGAACAAATCTGCAAGAGGGTGCCACATCTTCCCCTTCCCTGCCAGGGCTGAGATCCAGATCTTGCTGGAGAGGGTGCAACCACAGCCCCTGGATAGAGACACTCATTGAAGTGCTGAGCTGGCAAAACTCAATGAGGAGCCACTCTCTGGGGTGCCAGCAGCCCCCCATGGGGAGGTGAGATGGCACAGAACTTGTTTGGAAGACACCCACAGGGATGCTGCCTCTGGAACTCATTGGGGTGTGCACTGCTGGGTGTCCCATGTGCTACGGAAACAAACACAGAGAACATGCTAGAACCAGGAAGAAAAGCCCCATCCTCTTCCAATGCCCCTCCAGCCAGCCCCCTCTACTGACAAAAGTTGTATCATGCCAGCTGGCAAGAGAGAAATGTTCCAGTATCACAGGCAGGGCAATGAAGGGTGGATTTGAAACAAAGAGGCAATAAATTGATAGCTGTCACAGAGGCCAAGGATTAGAACTGAAAGGACTTTGATTATGTTATTGGCAATATTGGGTTATCTCTATACCAATATTTCTAAATACTCAAGTGATCATTTCTTATTCTACTGTAATCTCTATTTGTCATTTCTAGGAATTATTCCAGTTAACTGTTTATTCTAATTTTTTGGTATAATAATAAATAGATAGTTGAAAAAATAAAAATCTTGATGTTTTCCTGATCTATACATCTACGGTCGAAGTTTTTCTCTGGTCTCATAATTTGACTTTATAGAGTTATAGAATTTGGAGAGAGATTTAAAATCCCGTAAGTTACGTTGCTTTTCTAATTTCCACAGCTCTTAATTTTGTCCCTACATATTATATTGCCACTTTATAATTTTAAAAAATATTTATTTATTTATTGATATTAAACATCTTTATTTGAATTGTGACTCTACCAATTATTAATTCTGTGGACTTGCATAGCCTCTCTGAGCCTCAGTGTCCTGATCTGTAAGATGCACATACATTTAGAGGACTCTTGGGAAGAGTAGAGTAATTTAACAGTTTTTCAGAATAAAATAATTCAAGTTGTATCAGCCATCTCTCTCTCATAGTCTCCTATTATGAGTTATTAGAAATCTAAAGATAAAAGAAGGATGTTTTATAAGAGCTGGAAGGTTTGGTTTTGGGTAATCACATCTACTAGTTATTTCCATTCCCTTCTTTGATGGTTTACACATAAAAAAAATGAACCTATTAGGCTCCCACCTGATCCCAGAATGAGTCAGGAAACTGCAATATTTCTTCTCATGCTCTGAGTATATTATTCTATTTGATTATAATTATTCGATTCATTTGGAACCTGTCAGAATCCGCAATTGCCTTAATGCTTCCAGTTCTGTTCTAGTTCAGCTACCTCTGTTTGATATTAACGCCTAAAACATTTCCTAATCGTATCTTTTGCTCTCCTACTTTGCTAGAAGACCACTAAGACTCTTAGACATCTTTCTTTATCCTGATTATTCCTTCTCACCTTTATTCCATTCCCTCATTACCTAAAAATGTGTCTTCTCCTCTAACCCAGGATTGTCTCCTAGCTTCCTGGTTTCTACTATTTGTCACTATGTTCTCTGATGCCTTTCCTTGTCCACCATCCCTCCTCCCCAATACTGACTCACATTCTTTGTCTATCTTACTCTCTGAGGGAGCCACATCTCACTACCCCAGGCTACTTTTTTGAATTTTTCTAGACTGGGAAGCTAGTTTTGAGTATTTTCCTCCTAATAGGTAAACACTTATTTCTTTTGGTTTATTTTCTGTTCCTGCTACAATAGTTTCCTTTCTTCCGACATGGAGACTAAGTGACATTTGCATTTTCTATTCACATTGTCAGATGGCAAGATGGTGGCTGACAGCGTGTTGACAGCAAAGCAAGAAATTATTGAATGTGCAGCCTCAGCAGCTGTGATATCCTCAGGAGGACTTCCTGGGGAAATGCCTTCAGAACAGATAGTTGAAGAAGCTTCGGGAGGTCTAGGCAACTCTGAGAAGCAAGAGGGAAATGCTGCAAGGAACAAAATGAGTCTGCTTCCTGCCCAGGAAAGACGTTTCAGTCTGGCAACCTTCAACAAGAAAATCCCCACGGAAAAGAGTGTCCTTGAATGTAATGAAAGTGAAGGAAGTCTCGGTCTGAAATCAAACGATATTATACAACAGAGAGTTCACACCGGGGAGAGGCTCTATGAGTGCTTTGACTGTGGGAAGGCCTTTTGCCAGAGCTCAAAGCTGATTAGACATCAAAGAATTCATACTGGAGAGAGACCTTATGCATGTAAAGAATGTGGCAAAGCCTTCAGTTTGAGCTCAGACCTTGTTAGACATCAGAGAATTCATAGTGGTGAAAAACCCTATGAATGTTGTGAATGTGGGAAAGCCTTCAGGGGCAGCTCAGAGCTCATCAGGCATCGGAGAATCCACACTGGAGAGAAGCCTTATGAATGTGGTGAATGTGGGAAAGCCTTCAGCCGCAGCTCAGCCCTTATTCAGCATACAAAAATTCACACTGGAGATAAAAGCTACGAATGTATTGAGTGTGGTAAGGCTTTTGGTAGGAGCTCTATCCTTATTGAACATCAAAGAATTCACACTGGAGAGAAACCTTATGAATGTAGTGAATGTGGAAAATCCTTCAATCAGAGCTCAGCTCTCACCCAGCACCAGAGAATTCACACTGGGGAGAAACCTTATGAATGTAGTGAATGTAGGAAAACATTTAGGCATAGGTCAGGCCTTATGCAGCATCAGCGAACACACACCAGGGTTTAACTGTGGGTAAGAGCCATCAATTTTGAAATGCAAGGAATTCACTGTGGGGGTGAGACTGCACAGATAGAAGTTTTCTGAGAGCAGGGTTTCTGTCCTTCCAGCCCAGTTCAGTACTGTAAGAGGAGATCCACACAAAGATGTTTGTTATGATTATCAAAGTATTGAATGGAAGTAAAATTTTACCCAGGTCTTCTCCAAAAAGAGTGGTAGATACTTCCTAGAAATGCCTAACACATTCTGGATGAGGATGCTCATCAATACCCCCTTCACTCCACTCTCTACCAACCCAGACATAACTGCCATTGGGCACCTTCACAGTAAGTCCAGGATTGGTCTGAAAGAGCTTCTTATAAGATGGCAAGGACCGCTGCCCAGCAACAGATTTTGTGCATTTGGCAAATGGAGGCACATGCTGAGTTATTCAGCTGTCTGAAATGTTGAATTAAGAGGTCGTGAAATGAGTTACACTATTAGTTTAATAGCATTGGAGGCAGTTTAATATTAATAGTATCTGAGGAATGGTGGCTCATTCTGCACCTCTGCCAATTCTCAGCCCTGAGCTTCTTGCTGAGGTCAATTCAGGTTTACTTATTTATTGAGTACCTACTGTGTGATAGCCATTGGAACAGACATTGCCCTCCTCGAGTTAAGGGGTACATATTTACTAAACAGGTAATTACAGTGAAGTGTGATGAGTGCTTTGGTAGGAGAAATGCAAGTTTCTGTCAAAGTACATGGCAGGGCTACCTAACCTGGTCTGTGAGTCACTGAAGACCTCCTGGATGACATCCCAGTTGAGAACTAAAAGGTGGGTAGAAGTTAGCCAGGTCAAGGGCAGGGGAGAAGAGAAAAACATTACAGGCAGAGGTTATAGCACATAATAATACAATGGCATGAAGATAAGAGAGGATCTGGAGATACACCTTCATATGGACTCTTCTCTTCAGCAGGCATTAGTTGTTACAGACTCTGGCTCAGAGCCATGACGTGTTGACTTCTCTCTTCTTATTTATAATAACTGAGCTGGGGAGCCTATTCCAGACCCAGAGTGACCTATGAGACCTTGAACTACTCGGAGTTAGTGTGGTAGAAGACTGATGCATCTTATGGAAGCAGGCACGTACGTACACCAAGCAAAGAATAAAACTGGGAGGCCAGAGGGACAGTGGGGACTGGGGTGTTTGTGTCTCATCCCTGGGGCTCAGGAAATGGGAGGCGTACAGGAACACAGTGATGGGAAGACTACCTTTTCAGGCTCCACTGTTCCTCATTCCCTGACATTCTCCACCAAGCTTGCAGACCCTAAGCTATTTGAGGACAATTAATATTTGTTGAGTTACCCCCTCAGATTCCTCAAAACCATTCTTATTGCTAATTTTTATTTTGGAAGTTTTAATTAACTCACAGTTGCTAAGGGCAATTAATACCTAAGAGAAAGCTTGATTCCTCTTCTTAGATGTCCTTCCAGTGTCATTTCTGAAGAAGACTTGGTGATAACAGCTGTTGTGGGTAATAGGGGAGGTAAGTTCACCCCCTTTGTGTCCAAAGATTGTGCAGTTACCATTAGTGAGGTCAATCACAAATCTAAAGGGGTCCTGCAAATGGCTAGTGAGTTCAGTTGCCTTTTCCTATAGGCGACAATCAAACGATTTAATGTTTTAAATATCATGTAATGGATTTTTTTCCCGATTGTGAATTATTAATGTTTGTAATATACAAAACGAGAAAGTATAAATCACCCATAATCCCATTAACCATAGAGACATTGTTAACATTTTAGAGTACTTTCTATTAGTGTTTTTTCCTCCCAGCTCTAATATTTTTGGGAAAAATCTTGTTTAGTAAATAATTTTTGGTAACTAATTTTTACATTTATACTTAAACTGTTTAATATTACAATGTAATGCAAGATGTATTGAAATAAAATTTGAGTTTTAAAGGTTTGCATTGAAACTATTCATTTAGGAGTATGGAGCCCAATAACGAGTGGAGATAATGCTGGGAGGACAGGGAAGGGGCTGTGGGAAGAAGTCAGGGGATTGGTGTTCTAAGTTTCTATTCCCTGAACCAAAAAGTGGGAGACGGTGGCAGCCAGTCTTCAGGGCTGCAGTTCCTCAGACAGTCACAAAATTAAGGGGGCATCTGGGATTGAGTTGTTGAAAAGCTCAACATGGAAATGAGAGCAAGAAGGAGCCTCTTTAAACACATATGCATCCTATGTCCACCAGACTTGGGGTTCTTCCTTCCCTTGGGGCAGCGTTGGGGATTGTCGTATGCACCAGATTGGAATCCTCACCACTAACTGCAGAGAAGGACCAAGCTTAGGCCTGAGGACTGGGAAAGGGCCTGCCATGACCGTCCCTTTCTCCCCCAGCAGTTCCTCAATAGAAACATGAGCTTGGAGAGACCATGGTCAGATTTGCTTTAAATTTTCAGTCCTTTCAGCTAGACAGTGTTAGTTGAAAGCTATGGAAATGAGGGACAGAGAGGTAGGAAACTAATATTACATACTTTGCCTAAATTGCATGTTATCTTTTTTGATCCATTTAAGGTAGATATTGTTACCCCTGGACTGCCTCTATACCAAGACAAACAAGACAGCCCTGAGCAGAAAGTAAACACATGAATTCCCTTCTGAGCAAGACTCGTGAAGGAAAAAACAATTTCCTTTGACATCCACCTTGTTTTGGTGTCCACCTCCATTTAGTAAAAATGAGGCTTTGACCATAAGCGATCATCTACTTCAGCTCCTTTAAAGTGAGGGTCTGGAGTTGAGGTGACTTGCTCATGTCTGCAGAATTCATAGGAAAGCTCTGTCAAAGGTCTTCACTTCAAGGCTATTGCTTTTGTTAACTATAAATCTTCAGGCAAATAACTTCTGTTTGCAGTGGGATATATAATTTGTAGACTTTTTTGTACACTACGTGTGAGATGGCTAAGTCTGCTATTGTTATTTTAGCAGTGATGAAATCAAGGATCGCGGTTAGTAAGTTAGCTAACATCCTGAGACTTGGAAGGGACAGAGATGCTATGGAAGACATGTGCTTTTCTTAGTATTTTCTCAACTGTTCTGGGCTTCCGTTCACTCTTCCCCCTAATTTTAAGAGTATTAGATATTTATTGTGGAAAAATTTGGAAAATACAGAAAAACACAAGAAAAAGTTATTAATAAATTACCTATAACCTCAGCACCCAGAGATAACCTGTATAGCACCTTGAATTATATATTTCCAGTATTTTTAATGAATAAATATATATTTTACATGGGATCATATTGTACATATTTAAGATTTTTACTTAACAATATATCATGAATGCTTCATTTCTTTTAATATTAACCATCAGTTTGAACAGCTTTTAAGATTTTGTGTACATTCACGATGGTTTCTTCAGAAGTATACATTTCCAGGTAGAATTTCAGTCAAAAGGCAATGCTTAAGGCTTCTGGTATTGATTGACAGACACAGTAATGTACTCACGTCTCTCCGGCAGCATTAGAGTCCCAATTTCCCCAAATCTTTGTCAGATTTATAAGGAAGAGAAATGTCATTTGAACTCTTGCTTCAACATACATTTTAACTCTAGTGAGGCTGAACATTTATGTGTTACTCATTGGTATGTATTCTTTCATGATTTGCCTATTTAAGTACCAGTTTTTCTATTAGAACTTTCCCATGGGGAGACAGTACAGAGAAATGGCTCCACAGTAGGGATCTGGGTTCTTAATACTTGGGTTCAAAGTCTGATGATACCATTTTTTAGCCATATGACCTCTAGCCTTCATTTCCCTATCTGGAAAATATGAGTTGTAGTGAGAAATAACTAATACATACATACAAAGCCAAGTACTTATTACATTTCTTACTGATATATGCAAGAGTGCTCTTAAAATAAGGAGTATTTCCCTTTCTCAACGTTATATCAACTCCTACTTAATGTCCTACCCCTTTCAGTTTGGGTCTTTCTATGTGAAAAAGGAGGAAAACGAGTTGAATAGCTCTTACCAAGTATTTCGTTAAATTTTACCATTAATTCCAAATGATCCCCTCCCTTTCTCTTTTTGGGCATTTGGCCCTCTTATCATTCTTACTGGTTAGCACATACCCAACCATGTATGCCCCAACAGGAGCATTGCTTCTCTTTACTTTTCTTTTTTTCCTGTTTCTTTTTATCTTCATGAAAATTCTTTTTCTATGCACAGGACTCTGGATTTCCACACAGATTTATTTTTTTATTTTTTGGTAAGGTGTTTATTCCTCCAACCTATTAGGTTTTTTTTAAAAGACATGTCTTTCTGTTGCTGATTTACCTGTACAACTTTCCACCTTGTGTTAAGCTCCAGCCTAAGGATACTCTTCCTGCTGGGGCCCTCAGAAAAGGGGAAGTCTTGACTGAACATGACCATTGGTTTCCTTTTAGCATTGTCTTGAACAAAATTTGCAAAAAATATTGTGAAATACTGGTAACATAAGGCAAAACTGAACATGTGCAAGGTGCCTGGAGAATAAGTCACAGACCCAGCAACCAAAAAATATTTTCTGAGCACCTGAGCCCAAGCGTACCAGGAACTGCGGGATACAGCCCCAGAAACAAATGATATGGCAGGTTCTGAGTCACAGCCTTGGGGATGAGAAGGAATCTGACAGCAGCTCTGATACTGTCCTAAGAACTAAAGGAGTCCTTATGTCTGGGAGAAGGAGACTTAGAACTCTAACAGACTCTTAACACCTAGGCTGGGCTCTCTCTCTCTCCCCAATCCCACCACTATTCCTGTGGAAGTTCTAGGATACTCTATAGGTTGGGCAAGGAAACATTAGTCCTTTCCCTGGAGTCACACTGATCAAGGCAAAGCTCCTGACCACCATATGGTCTAAGGGCTCCAGGTTTTGTTTATTAACAGAAACTTCTCCATTAGCATATATATTGCTATAGGCACTATTTAAGAGTCTGGCCACATCCGTGCTTCTCTCACAGATATGACCTCACTTCAAAAGTTAACTCAACAGGAATGGACGACACTTTCTTTCTGGACTTTGTCTGTTGTTCCCTCTATTGGGAACATTCTTCCCTAGCCAACACCCCTGGCTAAGTCCTACTCGTCCTTCAGGTCATCTCCCCCATTTTCCTCATTCAAGGTTGAGGATGCCCAAGGTCGCACAGCACTGACCACAACAGTGTCAACTGCCTATTTGGCTGCCATGCCCATTTAGACCATAGAGATTATGTCTTGCTTTCCATTGTATCCCTAGTCCCTGGCACAAAGCAAGTACTCGATAAATAACTATTGGATAAATTAATTTATATTCTATCTTCTCATGCCTATATAAGTTCCGGCCTGCCCTGGGCTCAACAAATCATTGATGAAATCATCCCCCCTCCTTTCTTGCTGCCCTGTCGCTCTTCTTTATTGGGTCAGTAAATTTCGAGTTCCTGAGACAAAGTCCCTCGTGCTGTCCACACCATCCCCCTAACCTGGCACGCTGACAATCAAATGCAGTGGCAGAGCCTGGGTCACTTTTCATGATATTCCCATAAAAAATGAAGCTTCTAGGTTACATTCCTATCTTTCATTTTTCCTGAG